AGACAGACAGACAAACAGAAATTTTAAAATTCGACTTTCGTTATCAGCAACGCAAATACACCATCTTCCCGAAATCTGGAATTTTTCTTTTGATATTACAGACACTACAATGTTACTAAGATTATAAATGCGAAAGTTTAGATGGATGGATGTTTGTTAGTTTGTAGCCTAAACGTCTGAACGGAATTCGATGAAATTTAGTATAAATGCAGAGAATAGTCTGAAAGAAAACATAGAGTGCTTATTTTTGTTTTATAATTTCACGCGAACGGAGTCACAGGCGAAAGCTAGTAAATTATAAATAAAACGGAGTATCACCTAGATGAGCCGGAGACATGTTCTGGTCGAAGAGGCACTCGGTGAGCTTGAAGCGCTCGGGGCCGAAGTCCTGGTGGTAGCCGCCGGGGAACTCGTGGTGCACGCCCGGCACCGCCGCCGCCACGCGCTCCTCGTACGGGCTCTCCGACACCTGGCGTTTAACAATATTTATTTACCTTGAAATTAAATGAAAAGAAATAACCTTTTATTTAGAACTAGCTGTTCCTGTGCGACTTCATCCGCAGGAAATTATAAAAACTTTATTGTATCGTTTACATTTGTCAAATTATCAATTGCAAATGTCAAAAGACATGACATGATGACAAAGTGATGACAAGAAAAAGACATGTGGATGGAGCCGCACAGAAACATCTAAATATACTATAGACAAAGAAAAATGAACCGAGATAATGGATGGATAAGGTAAAGTGACTCTAACGGTGGGGGTCTGCCAACCCCATATACTAACCTGTGCAACACAATGACAGAAGTCTTCGTACTGTCGTTTCAACATATATTGCTGCCAGGTGAGTGTCAGCCCCGCAGGAAGGTTCTTTAATGTGTACTTTGCCCTCTCACGTTCTCTTATCACTTCTTTACTCTGGAATAACATCAATATTAAAATGTTTATTTTTTAATTTATTTATTAATAAACAAAGAGTACAAATTACATAATAGTAAAGCAAAGAAAAAAAGTAAAACAATGTTTTTTTTTAAATTACCGTGAACCTTAATATATTATAATATATTATATATTCATTTAATATAGTTATAACACCTGTATACTGTATATAGGCAGCATCTGTATATGCAAGTTATTGAGCATGTTCTTGGCCTGCGCTGCGAGGTGGTCCCCGCCCAGCGGAGAACGCACCGCCGCTGACACTATCGCATACCTGAAGACACATTTAACACTAAGATAGAAATGGTAGATAAAAACCTTGGTAAATTTTGTTGATAATAAAATCTATGCAGCATTTAGCAAAACAAATCATAAAATCAAAGCAATATTTAAAAATTATGTAAGAATAGCTTTGGGAATTATAATAAGTAAGCCTATGTGTTGTTCCAGACTATGTTCTAACTCTGTGCTAAATTTTATTGAGATACATAGTTACAAATGGATATTTAGATTGATATCTATTCAAACTTTCATATTTACACTAATATAAATATGAAAGATTTGTATTTTTGTATGTATTGAAATAAGTCAAACTACTTGGCCGATATTAACAATTCTTCACCACTAAAAGGTCGTTATCATTGAGTAACATGTTTTTTTTTTACTTTTTTTTATATCAACTTCTACAAACTCACGATCCGTACTCTTTTTTGCACAGTTTGTTTTTTTTTTGCTGCGTAATTACAACACTAGTGAGTTCCTTTTTTTTAATGTACATTATTCTTCATAAATACAATTATACTACTACAAAAGAAAATTTTTACTTATACTAGAACAACAGTTGGTGATGACATATTTTTTTTACTTTATGAGGATGAAGCGAGCTGCTAGTTTAAAATATTAGTAAAATTATAATTAGAATTTTAGTTGCTACCATACTCAAATATTTACTACCTATTTACCTAACACCTAAAATATTGTAGATATTAACTCAAGAATTACATTTCAAAGGAATATTTACCCATCAATAACTGGTACAGCAGAAGTTTGACTCGCTCCAGCATCTAACACTAAAGCTGTTGACTTTCCATTAGCAAATGCAGCAAGCACCGCATTCTTCACTAAGAAGAAAGCAGGCGCTTGGTATTTCTCAAACAGTAATTCCGCTAACTTCTCCCTAGCAGGTCTTGTTGTCCATACTGCTTCTGTGAAGAGAGCTGGATGGTGTTCTGATGGAGACCGGATAACCTAGAAAATGAACTAATTTGACTCGACTGTATGTTTTATATTTGCAATAAATATCAGCATATTAATTTTTTTTGCTATAACCAATATACAGTTTAACTATTGTCATATTAAGCAGTTTTCTGAATGAATGTGAATGGCTGCAAAGATAGAGGAAGACCAAAAAAAGTATAGATGGAATGTGTGAAAGAGGATATGCTTAGGGGTGTGAATTCAGATATTACGGCTCATAGAAATGTATGGAAGAGCAGCACAAATCATTCCAACCCTCCATAGGGATAAGGACAAGTTGATGAAAATGCTATCAAATGGTTTTCTGTTTTGTGAAATTGAACTTTATTACATTTACTCTGTTTTTCCCCGCTGCATTGCACTACACTGGCCACTTAACCTCAGTGATTGGTGAGAAACGTCCTAAATAATATAGTATATTGTAAAAGTGGGAAAAAATGTGAGTTTTACTTACTTTTGAATAGCAGTAATCCAACATCTTTTCAAATAAATCCCAGTTATCAACTTGACCATCTTTCATATATGTCTGTATTTCCATGCCCGGCCTTGGAACATGTATTTCTGTCACATCAATGTAGTGGCGAAGTTCATTGCCTGTTTTTGCCGCTGTAAAAGTTAACAAACAAAATAACTAAAGTTTACACTAATAGTCAAACTTGCAGAGAGATTAGAAATTTGGAAATATGTATCTAACCGCTCTGTGTGATATTGCCATCTGGAACCTTCTCCTCTGCATCAGGGATATGAGTGGCAGGTCCAACGCCGATCACTGCTGGGATATCGGCTTTTGGAGTGTCTTCTTGTGCGTAACCAACACGCAATGAATGATGCCCCGGGTCAAACACTAAAGCACCTATTTCATCACCACCGTATAACATGCCGTTGGGTCCACTCATTTTGATTCACAATTTGTTGAATATTTTAAATATAAAATATCATAAAATTAAGAAAACAATAAAGCGGCGCAAGATCGCGATCGGCGAACAAAAATGTTTTTTTTAAATTGACAGAACTAGGGTTGTGCACTTGTGCATGAGCATGACCAAAGAGTATATAAAATATATGACGCCATGATGCTTTAAATTCGATTGTAGAAGCGAATGATCGACGTTTGTAATGACTTAGACATCGATTTTATGAAGTAAGAAAAATAAAATGATAGACTTTACATTACACGAAATTGTAATTAACTTTGTTAGCTAGTTATTAATGTTTCTAGTACCATTAATGATAATAAGCACTAAATCTAAATGCTTAAGGGTTAAGGATGCGGACTGACGATGACGGCATGTAGTCGTGGGTTTGAATCCAACTTTTAAAGCTTTAATCTTAGTTAACAAAGAAAGCCACCTGGCAATTTACTTTTTTTGTTTAAGCAAACATGCAGATATATCTTTTAACGAGTAAATTTCGTCTCGTTTTTCATTCGTAATATAAAAACAGTATTCGTTTGAGAAAGGGGAAGAAAGGTAAAACATATAACCATGATAAAACGTAACTGGAACTTTATAGTTGAGCTAACGAGGTACATAACGATTTTAACATTATATTCTCAGACCTTGTTACGATCTGGTAATAAATATTTTATACTAGACTTTGCCATCAACTTTGTTTTTGATTTTTTCTATAAATAGGGCCGTAATGATAGGACTCTTCCGGGTGTACCGATAATCTTGTAAACCTGGCAGGTAGCCGTTGGAAGTAGAGGACCGAAAAATGTAGAAGGTGTTGTTGAAGGCCTACACACGGGCTGACGATATTGATAAAAAGAAATAACCATTGTTGCCTCATGAACAATTTGCCTACATCATGTCTAATGATGTTACGAGAACAGAATTATCTAAGACCGTGATTAAATACAAACCTAGTAATAAGATCCTTGTTAAATCTCATCTAGAAGCTTCATAATGAAAGCTCAAATTATCTCAAGCAATTCAACCGGGAAATTGTAAGCTACAACCAACTTGATTGTTGGAAAATAAACCTTAACCCGAAGAAGTACAGTACAATTTTAGATAGAATTTCAACTGTTTGAAAATCGAAGTTAAATGGATTACAAATAGAGTGCGCGCGCATCTACGACGTAGCACTTCAAAATGGCGGTAGGTTCTTTTTCGTAGACAGCTGTTAACTCGTAAATTTATCTATATTTATGTTTTTATAGTTCTCGTTTAATTATTTTCAGGCGTGTCAAATGTTTATATATGTTTATTAGAAATCTATGTAATACTTAAGAGTATTTCTAGATTACGAGAATAACATTTTCTTTATTATTGCCAGTGAAACAATATCGACGGTGGAAAGAACCTAATAAAAATATTTGCTTTGCCAGTGTTGATCTAGTCAGAGGCCGTGTGAACGTACTTCGGGATTTTCATCTCCAAAACGTGTTTTTTCTTGAATAAAATCTTGTTTTTTCTACAAAAGTCAACAGATATTCTCCTATTTTCTGTGAAAAACCTATAAATATTCCTAATCAGTCGTATTTTTATATGATTTCAGTAAATATAATACCTTAAGGGGTATTTATTTACTGTATTGAATGTAGACATTATAAACAGAAGGGTTTTCATCATTGATTGAAGAGCAGAGGTAAGTAATAATACCTGGAGATGTTTATATTCGTATTTCTTTTATTTTCATCTTATAATTCTGTCTATTTCATGTTTTTTGCATTGTCAATAACAGGTGAGATTACCTTGCAATGATAATTGTTCAATTAAATTGAGTGCAATTTGCTATTGATTTGATTTGATCGAGCACAATATACGTATTCTTCATTTAAATACAGTATTTTAGTTATCCGATCAAGATTTGAGCTTTGGCTGTACAAATTTCGTGTTTATGCCTAACAATGTTCAACAGGTTTTTAACTGTACAATTGAATGTATAATCTGTGTTTTTTTATAATCATTGGTGTTCAACTATTTTTTAATGAATTCTTCAACATTACATTAAAACGGAAAACTACGTTATTCAAAAATTCGAGTCAAAAATATTTATAGAACGTTACTTAAAATAATGATTTTGAAATGAATTATTTAGTGACAATTTAATTATAAATTCAACTAAGTTGTGATGTTATCAAATTCTTGCTATTTTTTTTCGTAAGGGGTAATATGCTAACTAGTAAGCTGTGTTTGTCGTATAAATAACTAAATAACGACACGCAAACAACGGATGTTGACGTACTAACACGAAATACGAAATTGCCACAATGTTATTAATTATAATTCCTAACTCATTTAGGTGACGATATGACCCAGTGAATAAAGTTTGCGAATTTCATATTCGTTATTTTCAATTAAGGTTTATGTTTTTAAGTAAAATAATGTATTGGGAAAAATAAATTGATTTTAGATATTGTATTGCAATCATTCTATCATTAACAAAAAATATAGCTAGCTACGTCGTGAATAGAATTGAAGCGAGGAAATTTAACGAACTGGGAAAATAAACTACGTAATTCTGAAGTCTGCTGAACGTTGATTGCATTACGACGCGTTGGTGTTTAAGATAGTTTTAAATTCGTTAATAAAATATTTACTATGATAAACTAGAGACCCGTCTTCCAAGCGGCAATAGACTAATGCGGACAGCCGATTTTGCGGTCATGGATACGAATCCCACGATATTTTTTTTATATATCATCATACAAGATGAAATAAGAAATGTTAGTAAAATAATAAAATGTTTTGTAAAAGAAAAATGAGGATGCCATAATCAATTATGTCATTTATATTTGACTTTTAATTTTGATTCTAAATCTTAACGCTTCTACTGTTAATAAATCAACCAAGTTCAAAGACATTATGGTAGTCAAACATATTCATATTTTCAAATCCCAAACATCTACATATTTGCAATAAACGTACTGATTCCTCAGTAATGCGTTTGTCTAGTTTTCTAGATGATAAATTTTAAAGTCTAGACTAGACTTTATAGCTGTCTGAGCTATCTCGAAAGTCTCGCTTATCGAAAAGTTTTCACTAAACCAAATATATCACGATAATTTAAAAACTTTACGAACCAAAACAGGTTTTAAAAGGAATCCGGTTCCAAGTGGTTTCGAGACGAAACCGGTTAATAGTGGTTTCACAGTAAATCCGGTTAAAAGCAGTTTCGCTGATGAAATTTCAATTACTCTCTCGGTCTCTCTTCCTTTGACGAGGCAAATGCATTTGAAATTGCCATTTCGAGTTAGTTACAAGGTTGTTTCAATGTAATTGCTTTAGTACATTTATGAAAAGCTTTTAACATAGCAATAACATAACTTCAATTTATGTTTGTTTCAATGGCAATTAAAGTTTGTACAACATTAACATTTCGAGAGTAATGGATAATTTTGAAAACACTTTTTTAGAATTTTGTTCACAAGCTAACTTAGATTTCCATAGACTGGCTTTTGCCCGCGATTTAGTTCGTGCAGAATTAACAATAAGTTTACTAACTAGCTATTCTCTACATCCATTTGCCCATATCCCTTACGGATCGGCACAGTATGTTGCTGCTCTTCCATACATCTCTATCAGCCGTTATATCTGATTCCATTCCTTTCTTAAGCATATCCTCTTTCACACAATCCATCCATACTTTCTTCGGTCTTCCTCTACATTTGTAACTAAGTAGCTTATTCTGAACAGTAATCTGATTCGGATTTGAATTACTTTGAACGAATAACCAGTTATTTTAAAATCTCTGTACGCAAACTCACGTTTGTTCCGGGTAATTGCAAAACAGCTGCATCGATTTTAACTATGTCTTTCCTGGAATGTAGGTGATGTTTGCGGAGATTCATAGAAGACTAATAAGGTAGATTTAACTTGCACGCATTTCATTGACGAATCGCATCGCAGGCAAATATTTATCGTATCTATTTTTCTAATAAATATTTCAACAATATTATAATGAACACCACTTTTCAACAATAGGCAAAGGTTTATAAACAATTCTCATTAAAATATAAGTGGCAATTAGGCGTTAATAACGAGTAGGTAAGAGCACACTTCAACCACTCGTGAGATCCTAAGGACGGGAATAATTTTGAGAGCCTACCTTATTAAAATTAAAAAAAATAATCTAAGACCCTTATACAATGAAGTGAAGGATTCTGATTTTAATGAGCGATAATTAGTAAAAACTATATTTTGATAAACGTATTGTAGTTAAATTATATCATACTAATAATTTAAATACGAATGTTGAAATGGATGGATGTTTGTTACAGTTTTTAACCTTAACGGCTGAACGGATTTCGATGCAATTTGGTATCGATATAGAGGATAGTCTGGAAGAATACACAGGCTACTTCTGTTTTTAAAATTCCACGAGAACAGAGTCGCGGGCGAAAGCTAGTTACATAAAGCATCTAATCGAAATTTATGTATATGCCCATGTTGAATTTTTTAAGTAATTGTTAAGACCAATAAAAAAAGTAATTGTTAAGACCATTCTGTCTGCGCGTTTGCCCCGACGTTACGCGGTGTAATGTATTACGTTACACTGCGAGCATATTGTTTTGTTCTTAGCGGTGATAATCATAGTTGAAACTAGATGAAGTTTTGTAAGTAATCGTTAGCTGTAACTTCAAGCTCTAACTAAATAAAAGCATCTGCCCCTTTAGACAAAGTGACTTTCGACTAGCGATGTCGCTTGTAGAATCGACAAAATGTGTCAAAAGCAACGGTGGATCCAGGGAGCGGTCATGGGGGTCATGACCACTCCTTAGAGCTGGTTGGCCTGACAAAATATATTTACATATTTTGTCAAGATCTTGACTTGACCATGACTATGTGACCCTCCCCTCCTCCTGGCGCCATAGCTGGATCCGCCCTTGGTCAAAGGGTATAGAAATGAATACGTGACAAGCACGTGATTTATCGAAAAGTTATTGCCAGTTCCATAAATTTTTGACTTTTCCATCTGGGATAGCGATAATCAAAGGTTACTACGTCTAAGAGGGTTTTAATTGATGGCATATCTCTAAATTGCATTGTCATCATCTATCGACAAAGTTTTCATAGAGTCGTATTTCTAAATTAACGTTCGTTCGCGAGCTGAGAGATGTCCGGGAACGCTGCGATATTGATTTTAGATTTATCACTGTACTTTGTGATGCTGCAGAACATGATATCTTGTTAGGACGTAGTTAATTGAACTGTCTTTACTATATACTATACTGTACTATATTCCTATATTTACAATATCTATCTATACTATTATAATAAAGCGTAAACACACATTTTGTTGCCTAAGATGTCGGCAATTACAGCATATTTTTGAATAATTCTTTTTGTAATAAAAAGCCCTGCACTTATGTCACGCTTTAGGCTATATATTTTCACGCCATTAAACTTAGGGGGTAAATATTTTGGACAAAAACCCCAATGTGGGAAAGAGAGGGTACGTAATTTCTTGGTTTTCGTATGTTTTTTTGATATCGAGCGAATGAAGTCGCGGGTAACATGTAGTACATTTAAATCATAGTAAAGGCATAATAAGGGTTTAGTTATTTAATTTCTCGTGTATTTAATACAATTTTTTCAATACATTTTGTTGGCTTTGACCTACTTTTCAGCTGTAATTCACAGTTCGTTAACTCCGAGACAGTTTGAGTACGAACTTTCTGGAAATCAAGAGCCGTTTGTTAAATGTAAAGAAATATTTACTACTACCTTTTGTCCGCGACTTCGTTCGAAATTAAAATAGGTGTGGTAATAAATATAGCCTTTATTACTAGGTTACAATGTAGCTTTAAAACTGTAGCTACTTCTCTTCTACTTCTGATTGACATTACCAGATGTAATAGGGACGGGACGCGTGTGATCTAGTGTTGCGCCACTACTTCGTTGCTTTACCGATTTCTTAATAGGTACTATGAAACTGGAAAATTATATTTCAGTTCTTCAAAAATCTATAATTGTTATAGATTCTTTTTTTTTAAGTTTTACGTTAGCATTGGTATTATCGATAAGCTGATATCGGATTTTGGGATTGCAAAAACATACAGACGAATTGAGTACCTACCTCCTTCTTTTGGGAAGTCGGTAAAAAATGGGTTGAGTTTGAGTTCGGTTTTTTAATTTTTTTTCCTTGTGTATATCGTGTATATATTTTCATATTGCGATAATCTTGCGTAGCGAATGTACGCGGCCTTTGTTCTGTCAGTCACACACGTTGACATATTCCAATGAAGATGAATGACGAAGTGAAAACGGAAGTTTTTAGAAAGTAATTATGATTTTCACTTTAAATGCGCTGGGAAACACAGTAACTATTATTGAGATTTAATTTTCAATATAAAGTGAATAATCAATTAAACTGATTACACTTTTGTGAGACATTATTATAAACGGATTAAAAAAAACTGCTCATTTGGGCACCTTTTAAGTCGGTGTCGTCCCCGATTACGAGAGTTTTTTTTATATTATGAGGTGGCAAACGAGCAAGCGGCCACCTGAATCCTTGCCTTGCCTACCCTTAAATGACGGAGGAGGAGACGCACAGAAACAAGATGTTTCCCTATGCGTCTCCTCCACTGTCAAATCAACCTTCCTTTTCCACCCTATTCTTATGAGACAAAGGGTGGGAAGGAAAAGGGAAAAGGGACGTTTGGGTTAAAATATTATTGTAACCATTTGGGTTTATCAAACACATATAAATTACTAGCTGCTTCCCGTGCGACTTCATCCGCATGAAATTATGAAAATTTTATGTTATTGTTTACATTTGTCAAATTATCAATAGCAAATGTCAAAATAACATGACATGACAAAATTTGGCAATCTTGTTTTCTTGATGTTGGCAGCAACTTATTTATTTATTTATTTTATTTATTTACAGATAACTTACAGCTAGCTTAAAAAAATAATAATAAAAGAAACAAAAAAATGAAGACCAATTACAAGTTATGGCAGATAGTCACAAGTATATATTATAAAGAAATTCAGTCCTTGTAAATTGTATCACACTACACTTATATGAAGATAAAAATCACCTTCCACTCACTATCGCATATTGAAAAAACGGTCATTGAGGATTCGTTTAACTTTAGGTGCCGATATGTTAAATATGTTAACTTATGGTCCCATATTAAGGTTTTTATCCAAAATATTTACCCCCTAAGTTTAATGGCGTGAAAATATATAACCTAAAGCATGACGTAAGTATAGGACTTTATTTTAAAAAATAGGAATTATTCAAAACGATGCTGTAATTGCTGACATCTTAGGCAACAAAGTAATGCGTGTTTACCCTTTATTATAATAGTAGATGTATAAAGGGCTACAAATATTATAATAACTATAATAATGATATAACTACTTTAGATATATTGGTTAAAATTTAATACGGCTCACTTGTTTCTGATAGGCAATTACGTCCGTTGACCGGAAACATTCTCTATTCTCCTGAAACCGACGAAATATTCATTAATGTAAGGCTTCAAATATATATCAATACATTCTATAATCTTTATATTGGTTACTTAATGTATAAAATAAAATGTTTTCTGTCGCATTTTATTTTTGTTTCTTTACTAGCTTTCGCCCACAATTCCGTCCGCGTGGTATTAAAAAAACAAAAGTGAGTAGTCTATGTGTTTTTCCAGATTATCCTCTACATATATGCCAAATTTCATCGACATCCGTTGAGTAGTTTAGGCTACAAACTCTAACAAACATCCATCCATGTAAACTTTTGCATCTATAGTCTTAGTAAGATTATGACGTCCTTATTTCAAAGGTTTTAAACTATTACACTAAATATTATTTATTCTATTAAGTAAATTTTTATTTAAAAATCTATTAAAAAGTAACTCTTGTTTAATTATTTTATTTAAGTACATTGTTAAATTCAATTTATTCATGAATGCGCCTGCAAGTTTTAACTAGGCAAGGTCTCAGACGTACCAGTCCGAAGGAAAACCAACGAGATATAATAAATCCATAGCGTAGTTTGCTTTTCTTGAATTATTCTAAAGAAATTTACTTTGAAAGGAAATGAAAAGAAAACGTTATTTTCAGTACACGTGTAAGAAAGCTTATTTATTTATTAAATGTTTACCAACTGTTTATTTCTTCAGTCTGTAATCTTTAATGGCCGGTTTCCCAGCTTTATTTAACCATACATTAGTGTTATTAATTCGATAACTAAATTCAGTTAATTTCCGATCTATCTAACTTCAGTTTCACTCCGTTAAAACTTAAAACTAACCTAACATTAATGTATCACTAGGTTATAAAATAAACGGAGACTTCAGCAACCAAGCATACTGATGGATGGATGGATGTTTGTTAGAGTTTGTAGCCTAAACGACTGAACGGATCGCCATGAAATTTTACATGTAAAACATAGACATAGAACACATAGACTACTTTTTATCCTAGAAATAGTTACGATTCCTGTGAGATACATTAATCTATTTTTTTAATGTTTAATCGATAATTCTGCAATGAATTATTTAAAGTCATTTAAGTTTATGCCCGAAATTTTCCAGGTTCCCGTTCCCGGAGGGATACGTAATTTTTTTGTCTCACATAGTTCGTATATTTCTTTATACCACGGTGACGAAGTCGCGGTCTACAGCTAGTAATATTATAAAGTGGAGTTAGGTTAGTTTTACTTCGACATGAGTAATGTTTTTTTTTTTATTTAACAACAACGAATAATTATCGATCTTACATAAAAGTACAACAAAAACCTTTTAAGGCGATGGAATAATTAACAAAGTTGCAAACTTACAACACGACCCGACGCGAAAACATTTTACAGACCCATGCGAACTTGGACAAACTTTTAGTCGCAATTACCTAACGATGTTAGCACTTTGAGAACTTTTGCTTAAGTGAGAAACCTCATTTGTCGGTCAATTATGTCTTTAATTATTTTAATTTCATTTTAAACTATCAACTCTTGAGATATTAAGGAATACACATTTAAATAACTAGTACATTTTCTAGCAAGTTACATGACTAGTCTCGTCTTTTTACGAGTGTGGTGTTTAAAATCTACGAGAAAAAAACATCAAATCATTCTTTGGTTTGTTGTTTTTATTTTAATATTGTAACCGGAGATCAAGGATAACAAACATTTTCTCTGTTTACTTTCGCAGACAATGGCGCCTGTGAAATTCGGATTATTTAAAGGACGCAGCAAAGACCATCAAGAGAAACCATCGACTGAGAATCTGCTGCAAGACAACAACAGCAATTACGATGGTATACTGCCATCTACTTTTTAATTATAGACATTTGAAGCTTAACAAGTAGATTCGTTGTTTACAAAGGATAGGCTTCAGAAAAAAAAATAATAAAAACTTGTACAATCGCGGCACTCCGCGGTGTTCCACTTTAGGAAAAATTGCCTTGTTATTGCAACGAGACAAACTAAAAATAACTAATTAGATAGTAGATTAAAAGAAACTAGTTGTGTCTCACTAACCGACTTTTTACCGTCAATTTGTAAGCTGCATTGTATTTTTGTTCCGCGTCTCGTTTCATGTTCAAATGATGGTAGCTTTTAAGAACACCGCCAGTTTCCCTTATTGTACATCCTTGCAACGCACCCATTCTCCTTAATTTCATTGTAATGGAAATTATTTATTGAAATTCATACTTAGTTTTTATATCCAGTGTCGGGCTCCCCCGTGCCATCTACAAGCAAGGGATTGCAGGAGGAACTCTTGCCTGCGAGCATTTCAATGCTTACTATTGACAGTGATGATGATGACGTAAGTAATTTTGTAACTTATACTAATAACCAAACTCAGGAACCCTTACACTTGAAACTAAACTATCGCACAACTGTTTGAGTCCTATAAGCTTATATAAAGGTATATATTCCTCGATCTTTAGTTGTGCAACTAAACAGTTGAATGGGCTACGAAACAATTGACAATCGCACAACACTGTTTAGTCAAAAGTGTGCGCTCACAATTAATGAATTATTGTGACTCTAATATTCAATCTGTCAAGGTTTCCATATCAATTGTTACAGTTGGTAAAATTGTTAAAAGTGATTTTTGAAGACGTTACATACCTAAAATTAGAATTGTTTGCTTACCTACAGTGACACAATTCAGTTTTTAATTTCCTAGGCATTTTTAAACATTAGATTTCATAACATTTATAGATTCCCAGCGAGAAAAACTCACCAATCAGACGAGGTAGTGTTGGTTCCAGGATGGATCCACAGGTATCTACATTTGTTATAGTTTTTTTCTAACATCATCTACCCAATCTTATCCTACTCCCTATATGTATGATAAGCCTATGTTACTGATAATATCCTTATCCTACTCCCGTAGTGACGCAACAGGCTTTTATCCTCCACATAACTCTATCATACGTCATCTATCATCACTCCCTTCATGATGTTACCTTTCACGCAATCCATCTATCTCTTTCTATGTCTACCTCTAGACGTATTAAACATAGCTATTTATTAGTGACAGAATTTTTGTAATCGGCCCAGCATGAGTTATTTCAATATATACAAGAATACAAATCTTTCATCTTAATAATATTAGTATAGACTCGCTTGTCAAATTGTCAATAGCAAATGTCAAAATGACATAACATTACAAAACTTGACAGTCTTGCTTCCTTGATGTTGGCAGCAACTTATGGTCTCTTTCCCACATTAGGGTTTTTATCCAAAATATTTACACCCTAAGTTTAATGCCGTGAAAGTATATAGCCTAAAGCGTGACGTAAGTGTAGGGCTTTTTATTAAAAAAGGAATTATTCAAAAATATGCTGCAATTGCTGACATCTTAGGCAACAAAGAAGTGTGTGTTTACGCTTTATTATAATAGTATAGATATAGATAAAAGATGTTTATAATGCGGATGAAGCCGCACATGATCAGATTAAGATATTAGAGTATTTATTTTGATATCACAGGTTAACTACGAGCTGTTACAAAGCCAGTCATCTATAGGCGATGTTAGTACCAGCCTAAATGAGTACGACGGTGAGCAGTACGAGATGGAGGAACTGCAGCATGTCGATGTGGACGCTGACAGCACCACCTATGACGCTAACTCCTCGGAACTCGATATAACATCGATCACAGCGAGTAATCTTTCCATATATTGCGCTTCGGTGAAAAAAGCAAAGAAAGCTAAGCTGAAGGAAGAACAGAAACTTCGAGATATCGATATGTGGAAGGCCAGCAACTTTGAAGTCATGCAGGTGAGGTTTTTTTTAAACCTTAACTGTGGCAGCCCAAAATTGAGACTTCTAGTGCGTTACGTATACTTCTCGTATGAAAATGTCCTGACATGCGTTACGACCACTTATTTCCCGTAACAGTATCTGATTATGAAGGTGTCTGGAGATGCAGAAACTTATCTGATCCAATATTTTTTTATAAACTTATAGATTATATCTTTGTTTAAAAAATAAAGCTAAGGAGTAGCAGTTTAGATTTGTCTATTTCTTCTTTTTAAACGACTTTAAAGAGTGAAGGTTCTCAATTTGCTACTTAAGAGTGTGGGCACACCTTTGATTATATTATCGCACAACTGTTTAGTGTTGCTTTGATTCAAACCATTCGGAACAATCGCACAACAGTTGTGTTATAGTTTAGTCAAAGGTGTGCACCTGCTATATTAATTCCTCCTTTAATTGTCTTAATAATAAATATAGTACGAAAATAATACAATAGAGAAGATATTTTTCTCCCTTTCTAGTGTACCCATCTTATTTTGTTTTTTTAGAACATTTTTGTTTTAGATGTCTGTTTTTTTCTCTTATTTTATATTGTTGTTTTTTTTTATTATCAAGACATCAATATATTATTTACTGTTATGAATCTTATTTAGGTTAAATGCTTATTTTATCTGTGTTAAAATTTTACGATCGTCCTTAATCTGGAACATTTTTAAGACTACGTTATTTTGTGCGAACCTCAACTAACGCAGATATGCTCGGGAACATTAAATTCTTGTAAATAACGCTTCACTGACTTAATACAAGGAAGGGGAGAGGACTTGAGCCCTGACTAAGCCAGCGTAAAGTCAGGGAAGGTGATTTTCATTCATGTATTTAGCCATTTTATGCAACTTAGAACTACACGCATAGTTAGGGTTAGTTAGTTCACATCTTCTTTTTCTGCGTCGCCCTGTGTCGATGCAACTGTAAATGCGGTTGTCCTTAGACAACCAAGACAGACAAACAAGACGGAACAGACCGCTGCCCTTATGCAGCGGTCTGTTCCCCTTCCGGTGTCTTCTTTATCACCTTAGAGCGTGCGCACACCTGCAACTAAACTATCGCTCAACTGTTTTGTCTGGTTTTGAATCCTATAAGCTTATGTGGTGCGCACACTACTCGATTTTCAACAATCAATCAAGAAAAATGGACGATCGCAGAACGATTGTGCGATAGTTTAGTCATAGATGTGCGCTCTTATAGTTACTATATTAGAAACAAACGCGTGTTACAAAGCTCTACATTGCATTATAGAATGTTAAAAGTTGTCGTGTGTGACTAGCATTAAATCGTATATTAGTTTTTCTTAATATTAGTGGTTTTTTTTAATTTACTAATATTTCCTTTAACCAATTCAAGTAAGCTTCAGTCTTGTGCTAGGGTATTGTTCACAATAGTTGAATGGCGGGATTCGAACCCTCGACCGCAAGATCTGTAGTCCGTATCTAACCATTAGACTATTAAATTTATTTTTAAACATTCCAGAACCTTCTCAGCAGGAGTGGAACATCAGATGAGCAGATAAAGTGGGAGGCGATCGCGACCGCTCGCGGTCTTTGTACACTCAACGACACATGCACGTGCAGCGACTGCAAGATGCCCCGGTACCTCGTCAGCTTCAACGACGGCGACGCGGGAATGGCGGCCACGCCACTCCTGAACGCTATCGCCGACTGTACACTGCAGTGAATTGTGAACTGCACTGTACAGAAGCGCTTTTGTACCGCACTGTACATTGTGGGAATAATTCATTGAAAAATTCACTAATACTGCACTATACAATTAACTATTTTGTTGTTATGTTTGTTGTTTTTATTTCTGAAATATCGCCTTTCGTGTCCAGTATATGAAAATATTACTCTTGCTTACGATGTTCGTCTAAATCAGGGGTTCCCAACCAGTTTATGGTCGCCAATATTATATAATATTTGGCAGCGACTAATATGTAAAAAAGTGTAAGACATTAAAAATGGTAATGGTCGATATTAGCATTGCAAAAATTATACAAATTCTATCGTTGTCGATACATATGCTTTCATGCAAATATTTAGTGCTGGGCCCTCAGACTCATGACTCGCTCAATTTAAAATTAGCGAATCACATTCTGACGCGGACCACTGGTTGGGAACCGGTCTATACAAAACCCCTTATTAGTATTGTCAAAGAATAAAAATGTATCAAAGACTATTCCTATACGTAGAAAGGACAACGTGTGTAAATAAATTGGGAGGCAGAGAAATAACTATATTCAGTCACTAAGGCGGTCTGTTTAGATTTAATGTGAGACTTCTACAGGGGAAATTGAATGTTAAACATCTGTGAGTGTGGCGTATACCACAGAGGGGAAGATGATAGTGTGTAAAGATTATCTTAAAAGAAACGACTGATTGTTAAGAAAGAATTGCTAATGTAAGTTACAAGCAAAGCGGGTATAGTAACGTAGAAAAGGAAGTAATTAAAATAACTAAAACCGGATCGTTTTATCTAGAACATTCGAGGGGAATATATAAAATGAATGACGTCACTCGTCAAATTCAGTAATTCAGTCATAAATCATAAAGACATGTTTAAAAAGTACCCTCTTATCGGTCGCGTAAAAATATGCTTGTTTAGGATTATTCCCAACCGTCACCCCGCTCTGCACCCACGTGGGAACAGATGATAATAAAAAGTTTCATCCGTCCCACCTTTTGCGACGAGAAGCCGGTTAGAACTTATCTTATTTCATAACGGTTCCATCTGTCATCTTATTGGTGATAAGAGGACTAAAAGGTGGGACGGATGAAACTTTTTATTCTCACGTGGGGACAGAGCAGGGTGATGGTTGGGAATAATCCCATGTTTTTAGGTTGTGTGGATCATCAGGTTTTAAACCGAAAAACGAGTAGACATCCATATTTATTGTTAACCCTGAACTTTATACCTTCGTTATAATCCTACAATGCATTGAATTGTGTTATTTAAAAACAGTAAAACTTCAGAGATTACTTTAAAAAAATATATGCAAAGTACAGCAGTAAAAAGTAATTGCAAATATTAATATCTTTTAATATTTTCATATTGTAATTCTTAGTGCAACAATGGCCTAAAAGATGCATAATTTTTGTCCCCCTCTTACTAAGGTACTTTGAAAGGGACAAAAACATCGCATCGTTATCGCTTCGCTTTTGTGTGACACATACATTAGTGGTATATTTCTTAAATGTACATGTGTAGTGAAAATCATTATAAAATTTAGATTTTTAACATAATATAATTTATTTATTGAATGTTGTAGAAATTGTTTAAATCGATAAATCAATTTTTCATTAAAAAACTAAACTAAAAATGTTGCAGATAATAGTAATCGAGATTTCTTCAATACGCATAATCATCAAGTAATTTCAAAATCATTGATGTTTTTAGCATATATAGAGTAGAAAAGAATCTGTTAATTAAAATCCTTAAAATTATTATATCTTTACATTTTTAATAATGTCTATTATCTTATCTATGGTCAAAAAAATGAAAGCCAATTATTTTTTATATTCCTCATTTTTTTTTATTTGGTACTATTTCTTGTAATTAAAACAAAGATAATTTTTATACGAAAGAAATGTTTTTACAATTTTTGGAGCACACGAAAACTTGCTAACTATTTTATAATTTTACTTCTGTCAATTGTTCTATTAATAAATTAATATTTTATTGTTGTTATTCAAATTAAATAGAAATGAGAAAAAATCCTGATAAAAATATTATTATTTTGAATTTCTCTTTACAACCACTATTTACCTTCAACAAAAAGAGTAGCCAACAGTCTAAATAATAATTTTACTTTTATAAAACTATTTCCAAAGACTATTTTAAAAAATGTTTGTATATAAAAAACATTGTAATCATAATAAATCCATAGATAAGTCCCTTTCTCTTTACCACCCTTTTCTTATAAGGAGAGGTTGGGAAGTGGAAGTGGATTTGACGGAAGAGAAGATATGCATCCCATAGGAAAGGGAAATATCCTCTTTATGTGCGTCCTCCTCTATCGGATGTAGGCAACGCATCTGCAATAGCGAATGTCTATGGGCAGCGGTCGCTTCGCCATTTTGGTGGATTCAGGTGGCTTGCTCGTTTGCCACCTTATGTTATAAAAAAAAGATAAATGAAATTATCAGTCATGTGTAAATATAATTTCTCATTTCTATTCAATTCGTCTGTAAACCTTTATACGTATTATTTAACTATTTGTAAATAATATATGTAGGTAAATTATACATTTTTACCCCTGTAGAAGTATAATAATGGAGTTAGCGGAGATTTATATTTATGTATTTTATTATATAATGTACTTATTCCCAAAATATGTAGGATTTTATACCCTTTACACGTGGGCTTAACAGTATCACTTCTATAATTTAAAAGTCTATGATAAACCAAAGATATTTTGCTAGTTGTCGTGTCTGTTTTATACTCTTTTATGTCTATGGTTTTTTAAAACTTTCTATAGACAGTTACAAATGGTTTAGCCCACTGATCTGTATAAATAGATAGGTGATTGGAAATGATAGCTTCTGCTTCGTTCCGATTTAAACGCGCATTTTAATCACAGTTAAGCCTATAAATATTATAAGTTCGAAAACTATTCGCCACCAACTGCAACCGTCAGCGCTATAAGTACAGCAGTTTGTAACCTGTCTATTCATATAGGTTAGTGGTTTATACAAATTATTGTAAACAATTGTAACGTCTAAATATTGTAAGCAGAGAAACATGAAAATGGATACATGTTGGCCATTACGGTTCATCGGAAAATGTTCTTATTTCGAAGAAGTTATATGAGAAAGAATAAAAAAATCGTTTTGTTTTGTTTACAATATTTCGACTGTTATACAAGGGATAATTTAAATGTAATCCAAAATAATCCTTATCGCCATGTAGTAAGGTTCCTATTACTATCGCTTGTATTTATACTAGTGGCCTAGAGGCTGCCGCTTCCAACAGGTTTTTAAAAAATCTATGTGTTAGCGAAATTATATTTTTCGTGTATCGATGTTTATTATCTGTGGTAAATTACGTTTTATTAAATGTTAGAAGTGTTTTGTTTTACTCATTTCATTCCTGCCACTAAAACTATCGACGACGTCATAAACGTCTCATAACCCTTCCCTATATAGAATACTAGATTCTGCCAGCGACTTCATCCGCGTGGAATTACAAAAAAAAACAAAAGTGAGCCTATGTGTTCTTCCAGACTATTCTTTATATCAATACCAAATTTTATCGAAATCTGTTCAGCCGTTTAGGCTACAAACTCTAACAAACATCCATCCAACAATTTACTAAATTTTCGCATTTATAATATTAGTATGACTAGCTGTTGCTCGCGACTTTCCCGGGTGAAATTAAAAATTAGTAAAAATATAGCCTATGTTACTCAGTGATAGTCGGTGGCTCAGTGGTTTAAGCACTTGACTTGTAATCTACAGGTCTTGGGTTCGAATCCCGCCATGTACCAATGTGATTTTCGATTTTTCTAATTTTCACATGTACATAATTTACCCGACGTTCTTACGGTGAAGGAAAACATCGTGATGCCTGCACACATCGGCGAAGAAATTCAAAGATATGTGTGAAGTCAACCAACCTGCGGTGTAACGTGGTTGACTATGGCCTAGTCACCCTTACTTAGGGTAGGCTCCGAGCCCCTCGGTGGGGACATGTAGTGAGCTAGCTGGCAGTGATAGCATAGCTTTTTAATGGTGTAAGGATTATTGAAATCGGCCAAGTAGTTTTTGCGTCAATACATACAAAAATACAAATCATTCCTCTTTATAACATTAGTATAGACATAGATAGTACTCAGTAATAATGTACCTTTCTAAGGACAAAATAATTGTTGAAATCGTTTTAGTAATTTCTAAGCCTATTCAATGAAAACAAACTGTCATATCTTTCCTTATTACATAACGAGCTGTTGCCCGCGACTTCGTCCGCGTGGTATTCGAAAACATACAAACTATATAAATTACAAAAAGCTAGGTATCCCTCCGGAACCAGACATTTCTCGGGGATGAAGCTTGTCCCATGTGTACCCCAGACTTTGTTTTATATCTGTGCCAAATTTCAATAGGATATGTTGAACCGTTGCAGAATGATCGAGTAAACATTAAAAAA